TTTTATTGCTAGATACTTCCTTTGTTTTAATGGGAGCAATGGTATCCATGACATTTGTTATTTTGGAATTAAAATGATCAACTATCTCATTTACTGAGAAGTTAGCATGGGCAATTGAGGGAGTAAAAATCTGAGCAAACATTTCCTCTGCATTTTCAGTTAAGTGACGTCTAGTGGTTACCTCTTTCTTAACAATTGTATGGACGGTAATAGAGCTCTCAAAGAAAACACAGGAATGGTCGGAGAGCGCTACATCAGTCACCACAAGCTTAGAAATGTTCAGACCCTTTGATACAATTAGGTCCAGGGTGTGCCTCTTATTGTGCGTCGGACCCTTGACATGCTGAGTCAGTCCAAAATTGTCGATAACACAAAACAGTTCTTTAGCCCCTCTGTCCTGGGGACAACTAGTTCCCAGAATAGTGTCCTTCACATGCTTATACAAGAGAGTGTTTCACAGTCACAAGATGCAGGAATACTGGTTCAAAGCAGTATACAATGTTTGGTTTAGATTAGCTAAGACCCACGTCAGAAATGATCATGCTTGTCATATGTCTATCTCCATAGAGGCTGAATCATCATGTTAATCGTTGTCACATAGCTATCATATGCCTAAAACAGTGTGTCCTGACGCTCTTCTAGGTAATCATACATCCTGTTACGTACACAGCTACGTAGGGCCTTTGTTATCATCAGCTACTCTGATATTGGAAGAGTACATTCTGTATTTTCCTAACACAAACCAAATGCATCCAGTCAGGATGAAGCTCTAAATATTAACAACCCGATGCAACGATGAAAAGAAAATATAAGCAAATATGTCCAACAAAACCAATTCTACTGTTTTCAGTTGTTTAAAATATTTTGTTGCCTTTTTACATTTCTTCCCCGGATCTACCCAGTGAATGAACTGCAGGCACTCTCAGATAATTGCCGTTATCTGGTCCTGTTGGCAAAGGTCCAAAACAAGGTGGACAAGAATGAGGAAGCTTTACTCTCCCTGCAAAAAGTAAGTGGTTTCAGCTTTGTGGCTTTTTTCGAGATTTTGTCATCTTTTCACATTTTGAATGAACTATTTTCTGGAGTATTTCCAATCAAAACGTATTGGTACGGTAACATGATACGGATGATGTTTTTATAGTTGATTCGAGATAAACAAGGTTGTCTTTTTGCTGTGTAAAGGCCAGAGATGTGCAGGCCAAGGTGCTGAAGCGGGTGCAGTTGGAGCAACCTGACGCCGTCCCCATGCAGAAGCAGCTTGCCGCCGAGATCTGTGCTGAGATCGCTAAACACTACACAAGTCAGAGGGGCTATGAGAGAGCGGTCAAATTCTACAAAGAAGCTCTTGTGTATTGTGAGACTGATCACAAGGTCAGTGCAGCCGAATCAAAAACGTCCTGTGTACTCACTGCAGCTGCGGTTTACAAGCACTGGCGTCTTTTAGAATCTGGTGCTTGTGTTTGTGACATTTTCTGATCATGGTTGATGGCTTAATCTATGGGAAAGGTATCTAACCTACAGAGAATGTTGTCAAATGAATGCTCTCCCTGTTCCTAGGTGATGCTGGAGCTGGCACGGTTGTACCTTACTCTAGATGATGTTGACTCGTGCCACGATCAATGCAGCATCATTTTGAAGAATGACCAGTTGAATGAAGATGCAACTCTGGTTTGTTCTCTCTGTCTTTCGTCACAGTTTTGATCATCACCTTTTTTTCTGACAAATTCTTAGAACTTTTTTCTTACATGTTTTTTTCTTAGATGATGGCTGACATTATGTTTAGGAAGCAGGAATATGAACAGGCAGTTTTCCACTTTCAACAACTTCTGGAGCGAAAACCAGGTACATTAGAGACACATTTCCAAAAAGAAATTGTGGTGAATTGATGATTTGAGAGAAGAATAATAAGTCACACCTGTTTTCAGACAACTACCCAACACTGTCACGTCTCATTGAATTGTTGAGGAGGGCCGGGAAGTTGGAAGAAGTTCCCAGATTTCTTGATATGGCAGAAAAACACTCTTCCAGAACTAAGTTTGACCCCGGGTTCAACTACTGCAAAGGACTCTGTCTTTGGTACGTTTTGGGGGAGCGTTTCCTTGAAATATTTGACAAAATCAGTTTTAACATTACTGACTTAACTTGTGCTTGCTCCTCAGGTTTACAGGAGAACCTAATGAGGCCCTGTGGCACTTCAACAAAGCACGCAAAGACAACGATTGGGGTCAAAATGCTGTTTACAACATGATTGAAATCTACCTAAACCCTGACAATGACACCATGGGAGGAGAAGTATTTGAGAACTTAGATGGTGACATTGGGTAAGTGGCAGTAAGAGCATACTATATACCTAAATAAACACTCAGACTCTCATCTAACATCTCACTTTTGTCTCTTACCAGGAACTCCACAGAGAAGCAGGAGTCGGAGCAGCTTTCTGTGAGAACAGCCGAGAAGCTGCTGAAGGAGTTAAAGCCTCAGACTCCAGGAGGACACACACAGCTCCGCATCCTGGAGAACTACTGCTTGTTGGCCACTAAACAGAAGGCCAATATAGAGAAAGCCCTCAATGTTTTCACAGAGATTGCAAACAATGAGGTAAGTAAACGCCAGACTGTGCACGAGTTACATCACTCCCCTGTGTAAATATATGCACACTAGGAGTTGTGCATTAATTTAAATTCCCTCTTAATGTCAGTCAGAGGTTTGGTTGTTAACTGCACATGGATCAGGCTGAATTGTAATGTCATACATATGGTTTATGTTTTACGTTTGTCGTTTTTATTGAAATGTTATAATAACATTTAACTGTACTTAAGCGGAGTCACTATGGTTTCAGTGTAAACGAATGGAAAGAAGGCAGTGTGGGGGGATTTGTTATCCGGTTCATCCTGTCTCACCAGGATTCTCTGGTTCAATTCAGAAAGACCACGTGCCAGCACTGTTGGCCATGGCGACAGCTTATATGATGCTGAAGCAAACCCCAAGAGCCAGGAACCAGCTCAAACGCATAGCTAAGATGAACTGGAACATTGTTGACGCCGATGAGTTTGAGAAGAGCTGGCTGCTCTTGGCAGACATCTACATCCATTCGTCAAAGTATGACATGGCCGGGGACCTTCTAAAGAGATGCCTTAACCATAACAAGGTCTGTTTGAAAGTCTTGTCACTGCCTGCTTATTATGTGGTTTAAAAATCTGTCCAATTCACACAGAACCTCTACCCCTTAGTTTGGAGAATTGCCGGACTTTGTAACGCAGAGGCTGTATTTTATGTTAATTTCTTTGTGATCACAATTGCACGTTTTTTTTTTCCACAGTCATGCTGTAAAGCCTATGAATATCTTGGCTACATCATGGAAAAAGAGCAGTCGTTCCGTGATGCAGCACTCAACTATGAACTGGCTTGGAAATATGGAAATAGGACTAACCCAACTATTGGTTTGTGCACCAAAATCACAAATCCAGCTATATTTAAAAGGACCGAAGCAATTTCAGAATCTATATTTCTAAAATGTATGTCATGTCATTTTAATTTCAGGATACAAGCTTGCTTTCAACTACCTGAAGGCAAAGAGGCATGTTGATGCCATAGATGTGTGTCATAAGGTGAGACCAAGTGTTTACAGTTTGACAGATAAGATCTGTATTTACACCGCTAATAATCTTTGCTTCTGTCCACAGGTTCTGGCTGCTCATCCAAATTATCCGAGAATGAGAAAAGACATCCTGGACAAAGCTCGAATGGCCCTGAGACCTTAGAGTTTGAACTGTGTGTGTGTGTGTGAGAGAGAGTGAACCATGGAGCAAATGTTTCTGTAATAAAATGAGTTATTTTGATTTAATCCTTTTTATGGTTTGGCTTCAGCTGTCAAATTAGAAAATGTTGGTTGTCTGTATTTGTCTGAAAACTGGCTAAAACACATTGCAATGTAAATGTTATTTTAGGCTTATTCAGCTGAAAGCATTGTTCTTTCTTTCCTTACAATGCCTTTACAAAAAGTTGACTAAAAACATTTAAGACTATTTATGAAAAATGTATGTGTGCTCCCCATTATCGAGGCAACCTATTTTCTCATAATAATAATAATAATAAAATGATTTAGATACCTGATGTTGGCTTTTTGTCTGTCTCTTTACTACTAAAAATCTAACTGATGCATTAAGAAGGGCATGAACTGTTCTATTTAAGGCATATCCTGAATGGACAATTTACATCATCCAACAATTGCCACATAGACAAACATTTACAAGCGTGAGTGGGAAGAAAAGCAGGACACGGTGAACATTTTAATGGATAATAAAGTGGATGCCTGGCGTGAATAGGAAGTGCTGGGTAACACAGTCACTACAGATGGAGTCACTGCAAGTCAAAGGCAGAAAGAAGTCAGCGGAGCAGGCTCCCTGCGGCTGGATCCGCGTCCACACCGCCAAGCATCCAACTCTTTATGAAGACCATCCGCTGTGGGGAACCTGGGCAATCAAAGGATTAGATGAAACAGCTGGTGAGTGTCTGATTGTGCTACTTTTATTCACGGTATCTTAGATTCGTCTCCATGCAAAAGAACGCGTAACTTTTCTTAATGCGCGATGGACCATGTGCGTTTATGGTTTGTGTTCATATATTTAAGCTGTGTGCAAGATGTGCTGTTTTCTCAGAGAGCCTGATTGGATGCGGTGGGGTGTGTGTGGGGTATTGCGCGTTCCTCCGTTATTTGTAACCCAGCAACTGTCCCAGTGAATGACCAGTTGAACAAATCCTATTAATGGCACCATTATTGATTCTGAGGAACTCCGTGAACAGTCTGCAATACTCCTGTCCTGAAGTCCAAGTGACTGCAGTCCACTTTACCGCATCTACCAGAAGGGTTTCAACCATATGTTTGATTCTGCAGTGATTTAGTATATTAGGCTTTTTTTAAAGGACACACGTCAAGCTACAGGGCAAACAGTGCCACAACCTAACTTGTTGAATGGGATATTTTCTCATGTGTGTTTCAGGTATGGATTGTTACCCGCACAATTTCTATCTGCGCAAGCGCGCCAGCAAGTCTCCTCCCTCTACCTGAGAGCAGAGAGCACCTGGATCCAACGAGACGGAAGTTTTGAGAGGGCAGAAAACTGAGCAAATCTTTTTGTCTCTGCGTAAAGTTTCTTTGAAAGTTGAATCAACAAAAAGAAGATCTCCAATCGAAGCAGGATGTCGTTGGTGGACATCTTTGAGACACATTTTAAGAGCTTTTCCATTTTACGTCTGTAGTTCATCGACTCATGGTAAGTGGTCTTTTTTTCTGAAGCTATACTGAGCAGCAGATAAATAAATAAAAAAGCGATTTGTAGATGGCAGTTGACTACTTTTAGCTTCTTGAGGAACTGCTTCACACATGATTTGTTTTATTTCACAGACAAAAAGTAAACAAAAAGGCTTAAAATACTAAGATGTAAATGTAGTGGAATGAAAGTAATGTGTCTATAAAGCCACATGTCTTTAATTTGATTATTACATTAATGCTTGTTGATCATCATTAAACATCTGAATATATGTATTACAGCTGAATGTCAGTTCAAAGCCAGACTGCTCTCCACTCAAGAAGAATGACAGTTCTCCGCAGAGTGCTCCGAAGGCGACTGCACCCAGTACAACTGGTGGTAGTGGCCCTTGTCTTCGTCACATTATTTGTCTTCATACAATGGGAGGTTGCTAGCCAAAACCAACAGGAGGACCCATGGCTAAGGGGGATGGCAGTGAAGCGGGATGCCATGCTGGGGATGGTGATGGGAGCTGTTAATAACTTAAAGGATGCCATGCCAAAGATGCAGATCAGAGCCCCTGTTCGCCAGCAGGACAATGCAGAGAGGGTGTCATGTCCACCGGGTCACTACACTGCTGCTGAGCTCAGGCCGGCTCTGGAGCGGCCCCCTCAGGACCCTATGGGTCCTGGAACTGCTGGGAAACCTTTCCACACAGACTCACTGAGCCCTGAGGAACAGAAGGAGAAAGAGAAGGGTGAAGAGAAACACTGCTTTAACCTGTATGCCAGCGACCGCATCTCCTTGAGCAGAGACCTGGGCGCAGACACGAGACCACCGGAGTATGTCACTTTGTACAATCTTTACACTTATGTTTTTACTATCAATGTGCTAGAAACCTCAATAACATAATTGTTTTAGCGAACAAAGTAGACCAAATAGTGATAGTGCTAGTGGGTTTGAATGCAGTTTCTGTGCTGTACAGGATGCACTAATTTATGCACTGGGCCAGAATGTTACTTGCCCATTGAGAAACGCTCAAATTGATCAGTAAAATGTAGATGTGGTCTAACCCAAACATATTCATCTTTATTTGCTTTATGCAACAGGGAAAAATCTCAGGCAGAAACCACAGAGATAATTGCTCTGACTGGGACTTTGCTTCAGCACGCCTGCCCAGTTACTGTGGCCAGTTCAGAGAGAAGCACAGTTGTGTTTGGCAAATGGCAGTACATCCAAGTGCATGTTAGTCCAAGTATATGTCAGTAGATAGTCAGTACATGACACAGACATAAAGCCGAACCATGGACTGGCTATCTTATTAGAGAGAATTACTAAGTCTCTCCGGCTCTGATATGGCAGGTATTTCAAAGACTACCATGCATGCGGTGTCGCAGCTGAAATGGACACCCCACAGGGGAGGGTCTGCAGATGTAATAACTACCCTATTGTGCTACTCAGGAACTGTACAGGACATTCAGATCTTTGTGCTCTTTCTCCTTCTTCACTGCAGATGTATTGAGCAAACCTTTAAGCGATGCCCCCCCTTGCCGACCACCAGTGTGATAATTGTGTTTCACAATGAAGGTTGGAGTACCCTGCTAAGGACAGTATACAGTGTCCTCCACACCTCACCTACAATTCTTCTCAAGGAGATCATCCTGGTGGACGACGCCAGCGTGGATGGTAAAACTCAATAGGGTCCTTCACGGCCGCATTGCTCTCTTTTTTGGGATCGATTTCATGCAGCATGTTGGGTGGGCAGCTGTTTGGTGTGCTACAAAATGTGCAAAAGGAGCTCCCTGCTCCTTCTGTGCCCCATGAACTGGGTTACAACAGGAAGCGAGGGGCTGCTAGTGAATACTTTCCTAAAAGGCATTAGCAGTGGTTGTGCTTAGAAATGAGTCAGCGTTAACTTGTAAACAGGTCTAATGTAGGAAGGAAACAAAATGCTGAAAGGAGAGAGGTCTGAGGGAATGCAATCCATCTGACTTTCTAAGCTCAGTGACTTGTAGGAATCAGGCCACAGATGTACAGCAGATCTCCTGAAAGCCAGCCGTGGGAAAGATGAAAGGAAGACAGCTTCTTCCTTTTTCATCTGTCAGGCTGTGAATATTATCTATTATCACTTACGCAATACTTGAGACTGTTTATTCAAAACTGTGTACAACATTCACTCTTAATACTCATAAGGTTTTTCTCAGTGTTTAACTTAACTCTCTGTCTAACCGATATACTATATACTGTCAGATGTGTTGAAGGACGGGCTGGATGATTATTTGAAGCGCCTGAGTATTGTTCGAGTTGTGCGCCAGCGTGAAAGAAAAGGACTCATCACCGCTCGGTTGCTAGGTGCCTCCGTGGCCACAGGCGACACGCTTACCTTTCTGGATGCCCACTGTGAGTCAGCACCACTGTCATTACTCACATATAAAGCCAGTTGCATGCCAGACACACCCTGACTTATGATCCCACGGCTTAACAACCCAATGATTACACACACATCCTTTGCATACCTCCAAAATTAGCCTTTCAGTGATTATTGTTTGATTTGCGTGGGTTACCAGGTGAATGCTTTAATGGGTGGCTGGAGCCCCTGCTGGCCAGGATAGCTGAAAACCACACCGCAGTAGTGAGTCCAGATATAACCACCATCGATCTCAACACTTTTGAGTTCATCAAACCCTCCCCATATGGGCAGAATCACAACCGGGGTAACTTTGACTGGAGCCTTTCCTTCGGCTGGGAGAGTCTACCAGATCACGAGAGACAAAGGAGGAAGGATGAAACATACCCTATCAAGTAAGCAAAAAATCAACACACAACAACAAACTGGTGAGAACTTTAGTTTGTTGTGGGAAATCATTAACCACATTTCTCTTTAGGACTCCCACATTTGCTGGTGGACTCTTCTCCATCTCAAAAGACTACTTCTACCATATTGGGAGCTACGATGAAGAAATGGAAATCTGGGGCGGCGAGAATATTGAAATGTCATTTAGGGTAAGTCATTCAGGCTTTGCAGCATGTTTGTTACCTGTTGAGTAATTCCAGTGCACAACTCCTGCATAGGCGTGTCTGACTGCATTGTACATCTGTTTGTGCTGCCTGCAGGTGTGGCAGTGTGGCGGACAGCTGGAGATCATTCCTTGCTCCATTGTCGGCCATGTTTTCCGTACCAAGAGCCCCCACACCTTCCCAAAGGGCACACAAGTGATAGCACGTAACCAGGTTCGACTGGCGGAGGTCTGGATGGACGACTACAAGGATATCTTTTACCGCCGTAACCAGCAAGCTGCGCAGATATCAAAAGATGTACGTAGTGCTTCTGACACTAACGCGCCTTTGAAATCCTGTCATTCGACCCTTTTCAAATGCAGAAAATCACCCTGAAGCATTATCTTTCACTTGCCAGGGTCATATGTAAGTGTTTTTTTCAGACCAGTCATTATCCCCCTCCCTCGCCCCTTTTTAAAACAAGTTTAAGCAAATCCAACTCCTGTCACATTGATCATAATTCAACATACTGCAGGGAAAGCATAGGATTACACACCCTACCATTTCACCTTTGTCATTCTTAATGCATGAATTCTGTAGAGCATACTCTGAAATGGTGAGACTTAGATAAGCTATTAGGGGCTGTAAGCGGTTAACTGTCAGAGGAGAAAGGGCCCGGAGGAAGTCAGCCCTGGTAAATGACACAGGCTCTCAGCGTTTCCCAACATGCGGTCCCCCCGGAGGTGCCATAAAGTGTTCCCTCAGGGCTGTACCTCCCAGAGCGAGCCATCCCCCCCCCCCGCTGGCTTCAAACAGACACGTCGTCATCAACAGCTTCAAGGAATCCACTGTAGGAGCTCTCAGTGTGCACTAGTGTGAGAAGCATCCTCGTCATTATAGTGTGCTCTCATTATTCAAGAGCATGAGGTGCCTGCAAATCCTTTTAAATATTCTGCTCCGCTTCCCTTTTTGAGAAGAAAAAAAGAGCAGTGATCGAATACTTGCCTGGAGTTAATTTGTTCAACAATGGAGTGATTAGAGCACTGGAACACAGTCATTGACTTTAGCAAAGTAAAGCGATTGTGAGATAAAGAGTATTTATTAAAGAACAAATCAAAAGTAGAATATAATGTTTTGCTTTTAAGGATCATTTATATTATTACAATGGAGTCGCTTGTTTTATTTTCTGACTCTACAGATGGTAATGTCAGTCCATTCACCACAGAGTGCAATATTTAAATAGCATTACAGATAGCCAAAGGTGCCAGAGAAAGAGTCCCAGTTTTTTCTATTTGATTAGATGGATTGCAATGAAATGTTCCATCAGGTCAGATGTTCTTACTGCTATGTCATACTTTGATGATCAAATACCTGCAAAACGTATAAAATCCCCATCAACATTTGCTATACAGTACTATGATTTGAGTGGTGATTAAATGACAGCATGGTATTGTGCTAAGCTAAGATGATAATCTTTAAACCTGTAACCATCTAAACCTGTAACATCTGCTTGCTAACATTAGCATTTTGCCCAAAACATTGATAATGTGGCCCTGGACTCTTATTGTTGTTAGTTTAATAGTGATTTACAAAGCATATTACTGTCGGAAGTCTTGTTTTGTGTGGTTTTACATGTAAACTCTCCATAAATCTTAATTTAATGGTGGATGGCAACCTTTCAAGAAGGATTCCTGGAAACATTGACCTTTTAACATGTAAACAAAACACCCCACAGGCTTTGTTTTGAGATCCAGCAGACATTTTTGACAGAGATCTCAGCATACTTATAAAGGGTAAAATGGACATTGGTTAATGTGAAGTCTAGATGAAGGATTATAATGTGTAGTTTAAATCCTGCAGTGTGTTGACAATCAATGTGAAGGTAAAGCTTTGTTCTCCTGTCTGCCGATGTGTTAACAGAAAGCTTTTGGAGGGATCTCCCAGCGACTGGACCTCCGTGCGCGGCTGCAGTGCAAGAGCTTCTCGTGGTATTTGAAGAACGTTTATCCAGAAGTCTTCATGCCTGATCTCAACCCACTCCGCTTTGGCTCAGTAAGATAACACACCTCACCACCAGCTCGACTCTTTCCAAACCTCAGAGCTCTGTCTAGCCGCTGTGGGTTTCCACTTGGGATCTCCAGAGGGTCCTGAGCAGTTCCAATTTGACACCACTGAAAGCACTCCAGAGGCTGAAGTTGTTTGAACAGCTTGCACTGGATGTTAGTTTTTCATTTTGTTTCCTCTCACTGCTCTCCTACCCCCTCTTCTCTTTCTCTGTAGGTGAAAAATGTCGGCAAGGACTCCTGTCTGGATGTTGGAGAGAACAATGAGGGTGGGAAACAGCTGATCATGTACCCGTGTCACGGACTAGGAGGAAACCAGGTCAGTGAGAGAACATACCTTTTGATCTCTGATTGAGAAAAATATAATTCACTTAAAAAAAAAAAAAAAATCTTGTTTCCTTTGCTGTAGTATTTTGAGTTCTCCACACGTCATGAGATTAGGCACAACATTCAAAAGGAGCTGTGTTTGCACGGGGCCGATGGGACTGTGAAACTGGAGGACTGCCAGTATAAAGGCGGAAAAACATTAGTGGGAGCAGAGCAAAAATGGGAACTGAAGGATGTGAGTTTTGCACTTTCTCTGCACTGATTTGTGATGTCAAACACCTGGGTTATCTTTTTTAGGAAAATAATCATTTGTCGTCTCTTTGTGTAGAACCAGTTATTCTACATGCCAGGAGGGAACATGTGTCTGAGTGCCCGTCACGAGCATCCCTCTCTGGCCCTCTGCAACCCCTCGGACAGATACCAGCTCTGGACCTTCGTCTGAGTGAACTACCACTTTCGAATTATCCCTGGATTCATAGACGTACTAGGACATGAGTATACTATACTGTATGTGGTTAACATTCAGTTTTTACTAGATTAATGGCAATGAGTTTAATTTATTTTTATACATAGAACTGAACTGCTGCTGCTGGGAGGTTTGAACTTTGGCAGAAACCACTGTGTGCCACTGCTGGAAAGAAGCATTGAAATGCTTCCAATCAGACTGTGAACGGAGATTCTTGAAAGAAGGAAGAAGTGCCTTCTTTGGGTTTAGGATGTATTCACTACTCCAAGTCTTTGCAACGAACACATGCATTATGAGGTATTTAAGGCCAACACTGAACAATTTCTAGTGAGGAACATGAATCTAAAAAGTATCTTACAAAAATACAGTAAATGATGTGTATTATAAATGCGGAGTTCAAGTTGGACAAACAAAAATCCCATCATGTGTTGCACCAAAGAGACTGGAAGCAAAAACCTGAGAATCACAAAAGTGCATTGTTCCCTTTTTAACTTTTTCAGTAATGCAAAACCTCTTGTTTGCAACCATCCAGTGCCTTAAATGTAACTCTATACTGGGTGAGTGGAGGGGTGGAGGGATGGGTGGTGGTGTGGGGACAGGGGCTGTTGTGCAGAGTGATGTTTTGGGGGTTATAAGACCAGAAACTTTTGCCAGATGAAGATTTTATAGTTTCTCTACACTTAGTTTCACTCAAATTAAGCTAAAACAAATACAACTTGTAATGAATCCTCCCTTCACTAAATTTATAAAGGGGTCCTAGTAAATCTTAATTGGAGACCGCATTCATTTTAGCTAAGTGTACCTGGAAAAACTGGCATTCATGTGTAGAGACATAAAGAATGAAGAACGATCACGTGAATGGACCTTTTTGAGAAAAAGTAAGCTGACCCTTGAACATGAATGTTGTGTTAATTTGCCCCATAACTAAAGTGAAATTGACCTCATTATTGGTGAATGAAATCTATTTCTGTTCGACCTGCATCAATGCTTTATTAACTATATGCTAATGCAGAAGAATAATGTCCCCCTATTTAATTGTGGCTGGTTTACCTGTATTCTTTTTAAAAAATACTTTGGTGTTACAAAAAAAGGATTTTCATGTGAAAGGAATACACCAAAGGATTTCCGTTTGTTGATAAAATGTCTGAAACTCTCCCTCTTCATCTACATTTGAGTCCAATAATGAATTTCTGGTGCAGGCACTAGTGTTTAGATGGCTTCGGAATATTGTAAATAACTATTAGAGACTGGGTGAAAAACAGATTGAATGTATGTGTTTACCTTGTATGGAAACAGTCTATTGTTTGCCCTGGTATTAAGTGCTTTTATTTTTAGGTCAATAAATGTATTTGGTTAGAACTAAGAGCCACTTTGTTTTATTCCTACTGTGATCTGCAGAGGGCGCTTTGCACTAAGAAATCACTGAGCTGTACAAGGTTGGCTAGCAATTTTAATTTCAAATCCATGTATTAAATGAAACATCTGAAAAGGAAATTGACTATCTACAGTTTGAAAACCAAACACATTGAAAAAAACTGTACCATTTTGTGCAAAATGTTTGCATTTCACAGAATAAGAAATATACTCAAATAAATCAGGCACATGAAGCTTTACAACTCACAACCAGCATGGAACAAAATACAGTTTTAAGATAGTGAAGCAATTTACTCAATACAGACTTTTAGTAAACCACAATAAATACACATTTCAATATATATCATTCATAATAAATACTGGAAAATAAATGCCAACACAGGATCTCTAACCGGATGCAGTGTCATTGTAGCTAGCCTTCTCACACTGTATGCTTTGGCACAATTCATCTGTTCTGTAGGCCATGTTGATGCCACTGATTGCCAGAAAGCAGTCTGTGCACTTCTTTGTACAAACAACTTCTTTTGAAACACCAAAACCCCGGCGTTGACCCTTCTGATTATGAGTTACGGGCAGATATTTGCAAGCCTTGAGAAGACACAAATATCTGTATCCATACAGGTGCAGAGCTCAAGGTAAAGCTCTTCATTAACAGTAGTACTATTCACTTAATTATTGCAGTCCCCCTCCCCTTTGTTGAGCAGTCAATCCAATTTCCTTTTTGTCAGTGAGTCATATTGTGTAGCAGTTAATTAATGATATGAGTCGTGTCTGATAATGAGCTTTGATTGTCAACCTTGAACATTTGCCTCCTGTATACAATTATCAAAACTGTGGCATATTTATTATTGAACTAATGGTTCTTTACCCACACTATCAAGTGCCGTGACAACCAATTCAAATACATTTCAGTCTACTTTACTGAAGATCTTCACTTAAAGGGAATGCCTATTAAAAGCCCTCAAACTATTGCACTTATCACTTCAATAGAGCAAATCAACATCATTATTGGATCCACATAAATAAACATCTTAGTAATGAGACATTGGAATGTGGCTTATATGATGTTCAAAAGCAGAAATCCAATAAGCAGTTAATTTATGAAATAGTGGCACATTATCTCGGGTCAATATTTTTGGAGATATGTCAAAGTGCTACTTTATTAATATCCCTGTATTTACTAAATGTTTCAAAGAATACATTTTGTTCCGTGGAGGCACCTGCAATTTACGTTATTTTTAAGAGGGAACAGTGGAGAAAGAAACAAGTTAGGGGCCATCATTTTCCAACTGCATTGCCACATGACCAGTTCACATAAGTGCAAAAGGCTGTTGACATTTTATGCTATTGATATTGTATTCCAAAGATAAAAATAACAGTTCAAGCTTTTTCATGCCTTTCAAAACCATAGAAAAGCGTATAATAGTGACAGAAAGAATAAGAGAAATGTACATAATGAACACATTTTCATATAAAACAAAAGAGATCCCCAATCCCCTACATTTCACTGAGATCCCAGAATCAGCATGCGTATTGTTATCAAAACATTTACAATATATAAGTATACACATAATTCAGAAACAATAAATAAACAGGCAATACACTTTTTTTGCACATTTGACACATACAGTAGACATACAAAAGTTCCATCTACGGTACAATATCTGCTTAAAACTAGAACTTTACATCTGAAATTACAAGATACATTGCACGGCATGACATAACTGATGCTCTAAAATGTTTTTTTATCTGTTCCATCTTGCAATTTAAGCACACGCTGTAGCGGAGAAACCTTCAGGAGCGAATCATTAAAACATTTAAATCACAACCCTATGGCTTTATACAGCAGTTACAGATGAACATGTATTACGGTGCTGTCAATTGCTTGAATTTTAAGGTCAAATAATGGCAAAAAAACACATGATTATTAAAACACCACTTGGTCAGGCAGAAGTGATCATGAAAGAACACTTTAAAAGGCGAGGCCCATTACATGGCTGTGACCTCGGGGCAATGGTCTGGTAAAGGGAGGTTCTTAGTGTTGTTTGCTAGTAAGGTCACGTCAGAATGACCATTAACAGCTGACTCTTGCTGCGACTGATCAGCTGTCACACACAAGCTACTGTAGGAACCCTGGGTGTTATTGTTCAGGTAGTTTTCAAACTGTGTCTTGCTGTCAGGCTGCTCCACAAACGCTGCTTTGGACGACGGCTTTTTCTCCGGATCAACTGTGTAGGAGGTCAAAGGGGCGGCAGCCGCAGCAGAAACGTTGGTCAGCGTGAGATGTTGATTAGCTGTGTATTGTTCCCCAGCCTGATTAGAGAAGTCTGTGTACTGCTCGGCAGACATGTTGAGTTGTCCTTGGGCCGGGCTGCTGTTGCTAGTGCCAACTGGCTCTTGGAATGCTAAGGACTCTCCGTACGGTTCACTGGGTCGGCTGGTTTGTCCGTTAGAGACCTCAGCGGAGCTCCCCAGCTGATAGTACTCAGCCGGAGACGAGTTCATTAAGTAATTGTTTCCATTCATGTTGTTATCATGAGTCACAGAGCCATCGCTGTAACAAAGCACTGAGGACAAGGGGACGACCTCAGTGTGGGACAGTGGCGGGGTCGCCATGACGCCCTGAGACTTCTCTTCATCTTCCTCATCCTCCTCGTCGTCCTCAGAGTCGCTGTTGGCCAAGCTCTGGGTGCTGGAGTCAGACAGTCCGCTGCAAACGCTGCTACTATCCTCCTCGTCCTCATCATCATCCTCAATCTCCTCCTCTTCCTCCTCCTCCTCTTCATCTTCTTCCTCGTCCTCGTCATCTAGCTGCTCTTCCATCCCGTCCGCGGCTTGCAGGTGCATGCTGGGAGTCTGTGGAATGGTGTCCGACATAGAGTACTCCAACCTTGGCTGGGACTGAACCAGAGGGTTTCCAGCTCCCAGGTCGGTGGTTTCGCTACGGTAACCGTTGTTGGGGGACGCCTGTTGCTGCTCACGGCTCTTCTCCAGCTCCAGCTTCATTATGGTGTGCAGGAAGTGGGTCCGAACACGGATGGGATTAAACTCCACTCTCCCAGTTGCGTTGGTGCAGCCCTCTTTTGTGCAGCCACATGGAAATGACATACGGTCCACCTGTGATAAACACAACATTTACTGGGCTGATCATTTATTTTTCAACAGACGACCTGTCTCATATGATAATATCGTGAATATACCAAATAATGAATGCTTCTTAAAGGTTTCCTATTATACTATTTTTAGGCATATATTATAGGTCTCAGATGTATAAAATGTATAAAAAACATGTCTATGAAGTGTTTTGCTCAAAATACCAAACAGATCACCCATTCTAGCCATGCCTCATACCCCTATATTTCAGCCCTTTTAGAGAAGTGCTGATTCCGGGTCCGTAGCTTTTAAAAAAAAAAAAAAAAAGAGGCCTGCTCAGAATTCTGCCCAGATACTCTAAATGCTGATGTGATGAAACGCCATATCATGTTCAAAACCACATCAAGGATTAATTCTGAAACAGTATGGAGCTCAAATGCTTTTTCTCTTGCGGGTTTACCACAAGGTGAGTACCTTTTTATATCCTGCTTCTTTACACATACTCTCTCCAGTACAGGTTAGCTCTGAGTGTTAGCATGCTTGCTAATGTAAACAAAGACCATATTACTTCCAAAACACGACACGCATTGTTTCTGATAGCAACGCTTCTGATAGGGCCGTGGGTGTAAAGCCGGCCCACATTTCCGATAGTACGTAATATTGGCAGCAAAATCTGGATCAGCTCCGTTGGACACCCGTTTTTAGAGATGTGGGTATGGAGGAAAAGAGAGAGGGTTTTGTTTTCTGACACTGTGTGAGTCTCCTTACACACTGGGGACACATATTTATGTATAAAAGACATTAAAAAGTGCATTTTGCATGATAAGAGACCTTTAATAAATAATCAGTCATTGATGGCTGCCCCTTCCCTTTGAATGTGCAGTATGTTTGTCTGTTGAATTGTGAAGACATGCGTGTAATGGGGTTTACCTGGCACTTGATCCCTGCGAGGCTGCAGGCGCAGGTTTCTGGGTCACAGAAGACTCTGCAATCACAGCCGCAGTCCTCTCTGGACATCCGGATGGCCCGCAGTTCATGTTTCTCTTCCACATCAATCTTCTTGACCCCAGAGGAGCGCAGCAGGGCCCGGCGCTTTTTAGTGGTAAGAGGCTGCAGGAAGAAGTACTCGTCCACCTCTGTGTTGTCCAGATCGATGTCGTCGTCAGAAATGTCGCCTGCTGTGAGTGTGTTGGCCTCTTCAGACTCCACCGTGCCATTCTTAGTCAGCTGAAAAAGAAGAATGAAGCACATTCAAGCCATTTTATAAAAGAACAAAAACACAGTTCTGTTTTAAACAAAGACTAATTGTAGGCTCTTTGATGCCGATATCTGCTGAATGATACTCAGGACATCCTTTGTAAAGAAATCTTGCTCAGTTTCAGATACTGATTACAAAGCATTTACCCTGAGTTTGATTGAATTGAGTTTTTCCTCCTTCAGGTGATCTCTAAGCATGTCTCTGTGGATCCTCTCCTGCTCCACGGCAAATTCTCCAAGGGAGTACTGCCTGATCCAGCTGTGCCTGTTGGACATGCCCAGTGTGCTGCCTCCCTGGCTGGGCACGCTGGTGAAGCCCTGCCGCCGGCTGAAGTAGTACACCGTCACATTCTCAAAATGCACCCTCCTCGTCCGCAGGCGCTTCTCTCTCTTCAATATCGAGTCAGCTGCCAAAGAAGAAGGTAATGTTAAAAAGAGGTAGTACATTGTATGTAATATTAATAATATTCCATTCCTCACATACTTATGTATATATCAAATCCTTGTTACTGTACATTTTGTAAAATAATTATATTTTCTACTCTTTTTTTAATGCTATTTTATTTCTATTGAGATGTTTACATTTTGGAATGTTTATTTGAGTCTTTTATTTGTTATTGTACAATGCCATGTCTTTTTATGCTGCTGCAATGCAAACATTTCCCAAATTGGGATCAATAAAGTACTTCTTATCTTCTTATCTTATTCTTATGTGCTTGTCATCGTGGTATTAAACTGTTTTTGAGCTTTCATTAATCTAATTTGTCAAGAATGAAATGTCTACAATGTGTCCTAACACTATTTGTTCACATGTCTGAGTAGAAGAGTTGTATTGCCATGTAAAGCCTGTTAAGATAAGTCATGTTTTTCAGGCTAAATCTGGGACAGAGTTTATTGTCCTTAAAAATGTGAGGAATTCATTCTTGCCAGCTTTACAGCCAGCTTCTAAATTTAAGTATCTTAGCACAGCTCGGTAGGTAAGGATTTCATCACATCTCTGTGCTTCCGCTTGGCATGCAAGTCCTCAGTGTGTCTTTTTAAGGAGAGAGAAGGAGGGCAGCATAAATAATCCCCTGCCTGGCCCAGAAATGAAGAGTGCTGGTTCACAGAAGCAGTGTTCCCAGCGTTTAGCCCATATTAGACAGACAGGACAAATAGAAACCATCTGGTTCCAACAGCCCCCCCCACACACACACACACACACACAAGAGGGACAATGCATATCATTAGGGATGTATAGCTGTCAGACTGAGTTTCATTATCTACTAAGAGAAATGCAAACAGCTAGCAGCTTGTTTTAGGTGTAAAGACTATGTTACGGTGTTTACAATCAGCCTTTTTTTTTTAAAGTTATTCATATAAAAAATCTCACAGGTATTTTTCCATTCTAACTGTAATTTTCTTCATCTTTTGCAAGTGAATCATCTAGTGTTTCTCTATAAAATTATAATTATAGATAATTGTTCCTCTTCTCACAAACACAACAGCATGGGGGTGTAAAACCACTTGGAATTAATTGTTTCATCTGTCTGCCAAGACAGTAAATCACTGTATACGCACATATACCTGTGTCACTTCACAGGTGTCTTTAAAGTGCACAGCTTCCTTGTTTCTGTCACATGACCTTCTCTCGCTACCAGCAGCTGCAGCTGACAGAAGCTAAGCTCCGCCTCTGGGGACGCAGCACCCTACTTATGTCTCGCTACGGGAAGGGGTCACCCAGCTGCATGTCATTTACACACATTTAAAAAATGATGCATCATTGAACAAATTAATGTAGTGTTGACTTTAATTAAAATGAAAGACACATTTAAACAATCACTTGGCAAACTGTGCAAATTAACACACATCCTATCCAAAAAAATAAATAATTGATTTTGTTCTTTATGAATTACATTATTAAGGATTGTTTTAAACCACATTTCTGGATGCTTTCAGTATCCCCCAGCAAAATAAGAAACTACAGCATTATTATCTGATTAAATAAATGTTATCTCACCTTTCAGACATTAAGAATAACAAATGCACTGTTTTAGTTATTAGATAAGTCATTAGTGTCCTTTTAAAACTGCACAGGGGGCATTGTGATTGGTTTATCTTCAATTAGGACTGCAGTTTTTACAAATCAGTTCAAGCCATCAATAAATGAAATCTCTCAGTAGCAGGCGTCTTATGGAACTTCACTGAATATTAGCTGTGACCTTTTCAATGTAAATCAAAACAGGCTTTGTAGATCTGCAGGTGATAAGTCCTTGTTAATATGTTTTAATCTTAGCTGCAGCTGAAATCTAATATGAGGTTGACAGTAAATTAATCTCCAACTACTTTGATATTTCAGTAATCATCTGAGTCACTGTTAAAGCTGAATGCATTACATGGTTTTAAGTCATGTTTACTGCATTTCTCCGTTGTTTTTTGGTTGGTTAAAACTAGTTATTTGAAGTTGTCAACATTGGCTTCAGAAAATATTGAAAGGCCTTTTTCATCACTACATTTTATAGAGCAAAAGAGATGAATCAAGAAATAATTAAGAATATGATTGTTATAGCCCTGAGCTTTTTAAAATATGTGTTGTGTATTTGCTGAACATATTGCAATAAGAACTGCCCCCACCTTTTATTTCACAATATGATTTACATAAAGATCTAACAAGGATTTTAGTGTTCTTAGAGTGTGGATTATTTCCATGCACGGTACCAGTGTTGCACAGCTTGAGACTGCATCAGCGTATTCATCTGGCTGGGCCTGTAAACTGATGCTGTTCCTAATGAGGGAGGCTGCCTGTGCATCCTTCCCTTTTCTTACAGCAACTGGACTCTCAGCATCACTCAGCCTCTTCTTGTCTAATCCCCTCTCCTTTATGACTCTAAATTCTCATTACTTATCAAAAAACATGCAGATCTGCTTTCTCTGCATCCTGCTAAATCAGGTTGTATCTGAGTGTTAATCCATTCTTCAACATCAATTCAGTGCTTTGAAATTATGACATTATTGTTACTGTCAATAGTGCACTGAGCTCCCTGAATGAATTTAAAAGACAGAGGCACTCACGGGTGAAAGGGCCTGAGGCAGAGGGGTTGACACTGTCACTGCTATCTCCACTCTCACTGCAGGAGACCTCATCATCAGACTCCCGCAAGGAAGAGCAGGGGGAGGAGGAGGCTTCCACCTCCTCAAATTTCCTTTTCAGTATTCCACTCATGGCCCGCTGCACCTGCACCTGAAACCCAAAGACAGCAGAGGGGGCACACATTATTTAATATCCAGTTTAGGGCCTTCATAATCCTCAACACACTCAATTAGAAATGAGACCCAGACTCCCATCACCCTCCCCCCCCCTTCACATAAACACACACAGAAAATCTCTCCTGCCGCTATCCCAGCTCCCAGGCGTTCCCTGGGCGAATGATCACCTTGGCACAAAGGAGCTGAGATGGAAGGAGAAAGCTGCTAATTACATACTACGGCTGCCTAACAGGAAGTTCATTCAACTGTCTTTCATTGAGAGGCTGAGAAAAATACGACACAGGATGAACATGCAATGCAGTGCTCCTGGTCTCTGACATTCTGAACAATATACTGTTTTTGTATTATTTGCAGTATTTTGTACTATGAGATGATTTAATTTCTGATCAACTAAAAATATCCACTGACGTACATTATACTACACCCTATAGGACATCACACTATCTTAAAGGGAAAAACATATCTGCAGCTTTTTCAAAAGAATAATGCAACACAACTTAACCGTGCATCTTTAGGATAGATGTGTATGTCAATTGAAACAGGTGCACACACATGCTGATGTGCTTGCTATTCCCTGAAGCTATTGAAGCATGGCAACAATCTGTGCAACCCAAAGAGATTTGTACATATATAACACATCATGCAGCCCGATAGGATAATGAGTGACATCCTGTATGTCTGTAATGAGCTTCTGTTATGTCAGATGCTTCCTACAGGAAAAAAAAAGCGAAGGCAGCCACAGTCACCGAAGAGCGGAGTGAGAAAGAAAATACTGTGAAAGGCTCTAATTTGCCTTACAATCTGCACTAAAGTCAATCATGCTAAAATAAAATTTAAAGTGGACCAAAATATATTATCCCAGCCACTGAACCTTTTGTTATAAATACCATTAAATGGTGTCATTATAATAATATATATATAGCCGCTTTATTGTTAAATCAGGCAGAGTGGTGTTCACATTTAGTGAAAAATAAATAAATACAACTATGGCATTTAAGGTGGATGTAAATTGTGGTTACAGCACTTTCACAGGAGTGTACAGGCCACTTCAATTGAGGACAGCCATTAACTCCCTCTGACTGATGATGCATTCATACCAAAACACAAGAACAAGCTCATCCGTCAACTTTACTAAAACTAATCACCATTACACTGGAATGACTGCATTGCGACTTTCAAACTATATTTAATTTTGATAACTGCTTTTTACCCCTTTAAATAATATAGTGCCATTAGAATTCAATGTGTAATGGCTGTGATATTACAGGACTTATTTAATCGCTATTCATAATTTAAGACATTGTTTAAAATGAACTCTAGCTTAGATGAAGAGTCATCTCTTCCTTTTTATAACAACAGTAGCTAGAACGTCATGGCACATTTGAAAATAAACCCAATAACACCACAGTGCAGGGGATGATATGGCTGGCAGCTTTCCCCTCACTGCTTTCTCTCCCAAACTGGAATCAGTAAAGACAGCATGCATCTTCACCCAGTCCCACTCTGTCTTTCTGCCAGAGCAGCTTGTGGGGGAGTTCCATTCACAGCATTTCATCTGGGCTCTGCTATCGAGTCATTACAGATGCAAACGCTGCCTGAGAGAGAGAGGTGCAACCCAGAGAGGACTAGCGCTGCCAGCCAGAGGGTCATTGTTCCCAGGAGGCTGGGGGTTTCAGCGCAGAGACATGGCACTGCCAGCATTTGGAGAACATACAGATTCAACAACTCTGCATACAACCAAGGAATGTGAGGCAGCCTCCATCTGGGACGAAGTGTATAGAGAGGAGACAGAGAGAAATTATATTCATTTGTATTTCAAATCCTAAAGAGGTCATCCTGAGCAGGAGTTAACTGGGACAGTCACTAATAATGTTCATCATAGATTAATCTGATGATAACAGTTCAGAAAATATTGATAAATGTCCATCCCACTATTCTAAAGTGATGTATTTAAATGTATTTGAAGTCCAGTTAGTTAAATATGATATAGAAAAGAGAAAAACAGAACACATATCTGTCATTGAGAGGCTAAAACAGTATTTATATGTATGCATAAAACAGTACTTGAACGTTTAATCTCATTAAAATGGTCAGCGATCTGTCGACCGATTAAATCAAGCTTAGGAGTTAACCATCTTTTACATTCTCTAAAGCCAATAACTGAGCTGGCTGACAAGAAACCATCAATCCCCTTTCTCTGCTGAGTGATTATGACAAGACATAATGACATTAATGAATGAACTAATCCTGAAATATATATAATGAGTCTTGTAGGATATCAAATGTTGAAGCTTCTAATCAAACCAGCAAATAAACACATTTATTACATTCTTCACTTAATATGTTTGTGGAAATGTCCGCCAGAAATGGACTTGTTTAATTTGAGTCCATTTCCGAGTGAGGGTCCTAATTAGAAAGCTTCGTTTGGAACCTATTCGTAGGCTTAGCCCTCTGCTGATGCTGCACTAGGCTCTGATACCAAAAGTGGTTTCCATGGAGATTCTAATGTACTCTCACACAAATAGTGCTTTCCCATATGGCAGAGTTTCCGGTGATACATACGGTGTATACCTGTTCTTCATATAGCACCAAGGTTAATTCATATCTAAGAAAATGATCATCACAGTTAATCAGATGAATGCATTGCTAGCTCATTTGCATTCTGTAATGACAGCATGAAATCAGAGGTAAAGCCTTGACACTGGACGGGCATGACATCTTGAGCCACAGAGCTGTGGGTAATCTTGGGTGAACCTCTTTCATCATGGCTCCATAAAAAACAAAAGAGTGTTGCTGCTCTCTGAACAGCTCTTTCTTTGTCTTCCCTGTTGCCTTGCCACTAATCATGGCTGGCCAGCATCAGTATGGTGAAAGGGAGAACATCTCAGAGAAAATAATGCAGCAAAAGCCAGCTTGGAAAGCCCCTCCCTGTGTGTGCCTCTCTGAGCACACACATCAACTATGGAAACCAACTCCTGTCCTTAATCAACAGCGCTCACGGCACCGTAGCACACTTGCACTCTGAATACAATTATTTCCCCCCTCGTCATTCACAATGTTCCCACAGTGACGATAAAACCAATGTGACACTACGAGGCTCAAAACCCTCGTGCCAAGTGATGCCAACAAGCCTATGGCATCTGGTGCAAGTCATGACACATCAGTCCTGCGATGACCAGATGACACTCCTCTGTGGCCCTCACAGGAACAACTGACCTGTATCCACTGGCAGACTGTGACTCCTTTCACCTCTTCTCAGAGCAGCACAGCCACACAATCATAAGCGTGGCTATTCAAAAGAAAAAAAGGTGAAACATGATGATTGAAGAGGTTCCCATTTTGTTTCAGTCCACTGACTTGCAGCTAACCCCCTGAGCTCCACGGGCATAAGAAAAAAAGGGTGCAGGAGTGTGAGAGAGATTGTAATTTTCCAGCTCTGACTGCACTGTCGGTACCATATGCTTTATTGTTGCAAGAGGACAGTCTTTCTCACTTAAACTCTCTGTCTGTCACTGTGCTCCTCTCTCTGTCTCTCTCTGTCTCTCTCTCTCTCTCTATGGCTGGCCACACAAAGGCTCATTAGCTGCAGCCGGCGGAAAGGCAGAAGCCTGACTGGAGCAGAGTGGAGCAAAGCAGAGGCAGCCTGTGAGATCACATGGGTGGGATGTCTGAGAGAGAGAGAGAGAGAGAGAGAGAGAGAGGGAGAGAGAGGGAGAGGGAGAGGGAGAGTCTAGAGCGATACGAGAGAGAGAGGATTAAGAGAGAGATAGAGTATAGAGATAGTCTCTATAGCTCTGCTTCTCATGTTCTTCCCTGTTCGATTCGCTTCTAGATGTTAGAGGGATATCGCTATAGAGAGAGAGAGAGAGGCGTGCCTCTGCTCCTGCTGTCTGCAGATATTTTTACCAACATGAGCTGGGGACGGGGAGGGGGGCGAGTAGAGGGGGGAGAAGGAGGAGGCGAGAGGTATGGGGAGGGTGGGTCAGAAAAGAGGGAGAAAGACAGAATGTTGGAGAAATGGATAAAGGGGCGGGGGGGTATGGGAGATGCAGGGCAGTGGGGAACAGAGACGGCGGGGGGAGGTGGGGGGGTTGTTTCAACGACGCAGAGAGGAGGGGATTCAGGGGGGAATAGTAAAGAGGTGGGTAGAATGAGGAAGAGGTGGAGGGGGAGAGTAGGGAGGTGGAAAGGAGAGAGAATGGGGCAAAGAAAAGGAAACAGGAAACATCTGATGCCAGCAACGCAATCGGACTATCAAAAAGCCCATTCAACTACCAAATAAAAGCTTAGATGCCTTGGAAAGACCAAATGAAATCAAAGGATGATTCAACTCCAATTCAATGAGACACAATTACACACATCGAGCTACAAGAACTGGTATAAATCTGATTATAAACCCAAAAGATGTTTATTTAGAAAATATCAACATGCGTCATCCTTCAAGAAATACGATATGTCCGCACTGTAGTGAATGGGAACCCAGCACTTCCTATGCCAGGAAGTTCTCCAGAAGAGTTAGTGGTGCCTGAGCTAGTGCAGTCAGACAGCCATTATAATCCTCACACTCAATTGGACCATTTGTCTAAAAGGTCCTGCACTTCCTCATACAGGATAGATCCAAGCTTAGAGGCTTGTTGTACAGCCAGAGGATTGTTTCTGAGACTACAACGCAGAAGTAAATAGTATACTATCGTTATTGACATTCTCCTCAAATCCTCCCATCTGCATGATTTAAATCCATGTGAGGGTTTGAAAGGTATAGTTTATAAAATGTCAACGTTTATTGACATTTTTATATATGAAGGATATGTGTTGTTTCCTTGAGGCAAGAAAAACAATTGTCATCCGACTCTGCAGTGTTTTGCATCCTAACCAGTGTCCTCACTGAACCTCGCCTCGACAGCACTGAGCTCTTCCTCTATCACCGTTGTCTCTTATTTACAATGCACATAGCACCTCTCTCTTGTATACTGAGTCAGCCACAGACAAATTAGCAAGCATCAGTAAGTCCATTTGCCCTTTACCTTGAGACATCATCATTGATCTGAATCACATATTTTAGCTCACCTAAATGTGTGTAGTATTTCATAAGGAAAATGTTTATATTTAAAGTGGACCTATCATGCTATATTTGAATAATATAGTATACTGTAGGACCATACCTATATAAGGCATATTTATACTTTTTTTTTTTCAAAATACCAAACAGATCATGCATTTTAGCCATGCCTCATTTCGCTCAATTTTAAAAATGTTAGCTCTGTTTTTGCAAGGGCTGATTCTGTGAGAACAGCACCATCTACAGGCCTGGCATATGTACTACAGCGTCTCCAGCGCTTTCGAACGGCAATGGCCGTGGCTGTCTCCTCCTGATTGGTGGAGTTGGCCCAATAGCCGTAGCGCCACTGTCCTGACGTCAGGACAGTGTTCAAATCTGGATCAGTTTTTATCAGATCCGTTGCAGCCCCTTTTTTAGAGATTTGGGTATGGAGGAAAATAGAGAGGGTTGTGTTTTCTGACACTTGGTGAGTTCCCTGGAACACCGGGGACACATATTCATGTATAAAAGACGTACAAAAGTGCATTTTGCATGATAGGTCCCCTTTAAGTTGCAACACTTATGTCAAGTAGTATGAGCTGTGTTTCCAGGGAACACGCTACAATGATGAAGTTAGAAGAGATAGTAGTAGTAGCAGCAGTGGGAATAATATACTATTTAATGGATTATATCCCTTTTAGGAGTGATGTAAGCCATTGAAATGGCTGCTTTTAAACATGCGGTCAGCACAAAGGATGCTAGTGGAGGTTTACTGACTCAATCTGCAGAGCACTCAAAGATTAAAGTTGGCAATTATGGCTGAATCTGGAGGACCAAAGAACAATAAAGAATCACAACAGAACAGCAGCAGCAACAAGATACACGCACAACAGGAGGTAGCGCAATAAAAGAAACACCTGTTGTTCAGTCTAGTACAGAAAGATAGCAAAATAAACTAAACTCTCATTTATTGTGTTGCCCCCCTGCATGAATCTCTAACAAAACAAAGTAACATTACAAAGGCATAGTTCATATTGCAGGACTACTGAACTGGTCTGGATTACGGCATGGTTTTGTATGTGCTCAATTTAAGATACATGCTGTAATGGAACTGAAGATAACTACAAAGAATATGTGACAATACATATCATACAATAGTCATCTGTGATTTTCAACCTTGTTGCTTGTCGATGACCTGAAAGATTTTTTTATTCATCCACCAACATCACAGATATATGCTGCCCTCTTACGTAAAGATGCAACACATAAAGGAGATGGTATTTGTTACACCATTGCGCCAGTGATGGTGACCTATATTTGCTCCGACTTTCAAGAGGCTTTCTTATTTCAAAGAATGAAATTGAAGACAGCAGGCACAAAAATAAACAAAGAAAAGGTTGAGAATAAATCATTTGTGTATGCATACTGTAATTGAGGTCATATGCAAACGTTCTGCCCTACTCCCACTTCATAAGATGAAAGGTAAATACTAAAATATGTGTCCTATTGTTGCAAAATAGAGGAGTGCTTATTAGTAACATTTTTGAAAAGAGCACAAAGCATTAATTCATCCGGTTTGTTTGCTTTCTGTATTACGGAACTAGATAAATAGGAGACTGATTGCTTTGTATTTATATGACCTGAAAGGAAAAATATTCCTGCAATATTTCCTGGGTATCAACATCCAAGGGTATTCATGTGTTGAATTAAAATGCAAATTGTAAAAGCAATCATTACATGAACCCTTGAGTGATCTCGCCAAATCATTTGACTTTGAACTGGCTTCATGTCAACACATCAGCAACTGTTTGGCAGCAGTGGCCACAAATCAAAACTTCAACGGCAAACCTGGAATAAACCAGGGGTGATTCATTGCACCCCCACACTACTTATCACCTTTATCACAGACATCTCGACACTTAACACAGCTATCTCACAGTATGTTAAAACATCATACAGTACAGATGGCAGATTCTTCAACCTATATAATCAAGTCCACGGTCAAGGGGCTCCATCAGGTCGCAATCAGCTGGCTCTAAGGAAGCTGAGGCATAAAGATCATAAAGCCATCTGCCATCATTCAGAACTGCAGTGCACCCATGGTGCATTTCCAAAGGCATAAACGATACTTGTGCTGGTCATAAACATTAAGTGGATAGAAGTTCTTATGGACTGTGCCACATCCCCACATGTACCATAGATCATGTTATCTTTATTGGCAGTTTGACACAAATACACTTTTCTGCCAGCCACACAAGCAGGCTTCTACCAAACTCCTTTTCCTGTCGCTTTATGGTGCAGAGGCCTGGAAGACTCACAGTACAGACATCTTAGAACCAAGCAAACATCATACCAGAGCCCGAAGTCTGTTAACTGCCCTGAGCTCACCTTTCCTGTGCTCCATGAACCTTGCATAGGTATTGCTTTGAAAGCTTGGATGACTGTTTGTAATCTCCAATTAGTCCGTTCAATATGTGTATGAATTGTTTTTAGGAGATGCAGTTACTCCAGGAGGACCATCAGACTCCTCTTTGAATGACTGGGGGAGGACTGGGGGATACAAGTGGGGTTGTGGGGGGGGTTCAGATAGCTACTGTATGGATTGCACATTTCCTTCCTGCCCTGTATTTGAGTGTGCCAAATGCCAATGCCATTCAATATGGCTGGTTGCATTGCAGGCTACTAGTGTTTCCACAGTGATGAAGCACACATTATACAGCCCATGGCTTGGCAGATCTTTTCATTAATTAATTCTTCTTCTTTTTTATGTGTTTTTGTTGTTGTTCACTGTAGTAGTCTTACAGACTGAGTGATGCACTCCAGTAGAACTAACTATTGAGATCACAGAGCAGAGAGAAATACTGAAACAACCAAAGATCCTGTCCATGCAGCCAGTCTGAGGTTGTGCTAAAACTCATCCATCACTGGTGACACACTCAGCCGTACACAGCAACCTTGAAAAAGAGAGAGAAAGCTAGGCAGAGAGGGGGAGAGACATAACTAGATATATAAAGAGAGAGAGAGAGGGACTAGGTCTCAGCTGGACTCCCCTGAGGAGAGGCTGTGGCCTGGATGATTATGCTACAGATGATGTCAGTGGAGGATCTCCACCTCAGAGAGAACACAAACACACTGCTCATATATTCATTGACACTATTTTGCGGGGTTGAGATGGATTCCTAAATTATACATGAAAAGGCCATGGTCGAAAAGTGTTTTTCGAAAAGGTCAAGGGGGCATCTGCCTTAATCTGTATGTGCTCATGTTGGGGAATAACACTACAGAAACATAGTCATTTGCATCCTGTCCCTGGAGAATGTGTAGGGACCACACACCAATTATTAATTTATGCAAAGAAGTGGTAAAATCAAAGGGTAGTAAAAAATCAATGTGCAAATGCTGCAGTTAAGCTACAGTTGTATGTACAAATATTTTATCTATGCACTACCTCTTTCTGCATTTGCAACTGGCCTCATTACTCATGTTAGATG